GAAATACAACATTTGGATATGCTTGTAAAAAAGCCACATTGTAGAATGCAGTTATGTTGTAGTTTCAAAATACAACATAATAATGTTTTAATGTAGAAAAAGTCAACGTGGGTGTCTTTATGAGCGCAAATACAGCATATGGGCTCTTATATGCTGTTGTGTCATCACTTATATTGCAAGTCATATCTCTCCAGTCCCTCGTTTGGGATGCCTTTCATGAACTGGCCCCCATGACAAACTAATTGAATAGACCTCCTGATTATTGTTTACCTGTGGTAAATTCAGTTGATTGGACATGATTTGAAAAGGCATACACCTGTCATTTTTCAAAATAAAAGATCATTCAGACACAGATAATAAATAAAACGTAAATAATAATTTCTCGTGTGGCTAGGTACAGATTGATCTGGACCGGTACCGGACGACAGCCTGGGGATTGGGGACCACTGATATAGACAATATCGATAATATTTAACAAGAAATATGCTGTTGTTTACTTAAATATTATAAGTCCTGCAAACATGTCTTCGTTTGTTCATAAACCATACAAACAAATAGAGCCAAAGGAAGTTAAAACAAATAAAGAATTAAAGGAACATAAAACAAAGCATCACAAAGACAACTTTAAATAATTAAAATTACTCAACAGTTACTTTTACATTTCTTAAATTTGACTTAATTCCATAGCCAATGCTTTTGGTTTAAAAATCAGTGAAAGTGCATTAAAATGTGGCACAGTTCTTTTTAATATCTTGATTTTTCACATAGTGTGTGTGTTGAAGGAGTCAAAGTAAACCACAATAGAGTCTTTTGGACATGCGGTTGTACTGAATAACTTTGGTTAAATGTTTAACCAATGTTACACTGTGAGACCATTTTCTGATACTTTTGCATCTTTTTATTGCATCTGCTTTTTATTTTGTCAGTTTGATACTGCATTGTTTAACACCATTATGAGGATGAGTTACAATTTCTTTTTTGTGGTCTTAAAAAGAAAGAGGGGCCTGAAGCACTGTGTGGGTAAATAATGACTCAACTTTCAGTTTTTGGGTCATCACTTTAAAATGAATTTGGGATGTTTAAAGGAGCCAAATGAGGGTTTAGACAAGGCGTCACTGTGAACGTGTTTGTTCTCTGTAGAAAAAATGAGTCTACCAGTAAAGGTCATCATCCTACTATTGTTCTCACAGCTGTACTGTTTTAAGAGCTCTGGCTTTCTCAGCAGAATGAAACTGACCTTTCAATGTTTGTTTTGGCTTTTTGAAACATTTCTGGGTCTTAACCTTTGGGATTCATTTCAAAAATAATTTGTGACAATGTTATTTGTTAAAACTAGCAGAAATAACCAATTTACCTGTATTGATGCATAAAAATAGACACCTAATTTGTGGCTGTTGTATGGGCTACTATACATAAACCAGCTGCCATATTGAAATTGTCAGACCTGGTTAGTGAAGGTAACTATGTGTCTGCACACTAAGAAGCTGTACTGTATAATTGTAGTAGATATTAGCAGCTTGTTTAGATGAATTGTTATAATTAATATTAATTAAAGTTATAACAAAGATTGTTGAATCAGACCCTTGATATATGTGACCCTTAAAACCATAGGCTGCCAAATTTTCCCAGCTTTTTTAGGGAAAATTAATTCATATGATAATTTCAATGACAAGAACAACGCCTGAAAACATTTCAATGGGTGTTGATGTTCCTCCACTGTAAAACCCAACAGTCAACTTTATCAAATGAAATGAGTCTAGTTAACTCAAAATGGAAAAAAAGTTAATCAAGTTAATTCTACTCATTTGAAAAGAGTTTTGAGCTCATTGTTGAAGGTAATGAGTTAATTAAAAACCTCATTACTTCAACTTAATTAAAGTAAGTTCACAGTACTCATATAGATTAGTTTTTTTACCCATATGGTTTTTAGTATTTGGTTTCCTTAAATGGTTTGAGTTGCCTTAACTTATTGGGTTTTACTGTTTTCAATTAGTTTGAGTTCTCTTCATTTATTGGGTTTTAATGTGCTCAAATTGCTTTCTTTACTCAATTGGATAAAGTTCATATTACTCAATAGGATTCGTTTTTGAACTTAAATGGTTTGTTGAAATCGGTTTCCTCAAACGGTTTTACAGTGTATGAATGTAGACTATAAACTATCTAGCTGTGGGCAACTTTTACCGGAAATAGTAAACCATTCGGGAACCTTTGGCATACTCTTTTCAACATACTACAATTTGGAACATTGAGTTAAAGTCAGAATTATTAGCCCCCCTTTAAGTTTTTATTTTAATTGTTTCTCAAGTGATAAATAACAAAGCAAGGACATTTGCACAGAATGTATGATGATATTTTTTTCTTCTGGAGAAAGTCTTTTTTTATTTTATTTTATTTACTTTATTCAGCTAGAATAAAATAAGTTATTAATTTTTTAACACCATTTTTAAGGACAAAATGATTAGCCCCTTTAAGGTATATATATTTTTTAATAGTCTATAGAACAAACCATCATTATACAATAACTTGCCTGATTACCCTAACCAGTCTAGTTAACCTAATTCACCTAGTTAAGCCTTTAAATGTCACTTTAAGCTGTATAGAAGTGTCTTAAAAAATATCTAGTCTAATATTATTCACTGTCATCATGGCACAGATAAAATAAATCAGTTATTAGAAATGAGATATTAAAACTATTATGTTTAGAAATGTGCTGAAAAAAATCTGCTCTCAGTTAAACAGAAATTAGGGAAAAAAATTAACTGGAGGTCTAATAATTCAGGGGGGCTAATAATTCTGACTTCAGCTGTATTAATTGTATTTTCAAATACTATTTAGGACAGATAGTATGCGAATTGGGACGCAATCTTTATTTTACATGTCCTTTAAATTCAGGTAATCACCTGTGCCACATTTTAGACAGCCGTCTATGAAATATGTGAAGAAAAAGTTACCCCTTAAATGAATTAAGGGGTCACATAAAAGGCTAAAACACTTGCAGATTTACTTAATACAACAATTAAACCAAAAGACTGATGAAAAATATGCGGCGTGCGGAAGAAAATACTGTGCTTTTCAATGCAAAGTGGAGCGGTGGGTCAAACTACCGGCTTCTGTATGTTTATTTGGCAGCATATAAAACTTAAGATCAGGATTTCTACACTTATCAGAGGTGAAGAACATTACACAGTAACTTTTCAATGTTAAATCAAGAAAAAAATGATTGTATTGCTCTTCGCACATGTAGCGTAATGTTTTCTGTGTTGTGTTGAAATCACTGACACATCATAAAAATCTTTCCCTTTATATCACGTTCTCGTTTATTCTGGATAACACACAGGAACATATAAGAGGACTTGTGCAGCCTAACAGCATGTATGATGTATTCACTCGCATGCTGCTGAATCTCATGCAGACTGGGGGACTTTAGCAAAAGTCATATACATTACATAAATATTTTAGAACATATAACAACAAAACATGTACCTGGATAACACAAAGGAACATATAAGAGGATTTGTGCAGCCTAACAGCATTTATGATGTATTCACTCGCACTATGAGAGAAAAATGACAAACATAACAAAAAGTTATGAAAAATAATTGACCACCCTCTGTGTATACATCACAAACAGGCCTTAGATCACAATTATACAGTTACATCATCAGGATTCATTAGTTAAACGAAATATGACACTCATTAAGTCACCGCATACACTTGTGTGACCTACCGCTACTGAATCTCAGAAGCAAAGCGCGCGCACTCCCCAAATCAACATGGGGACAAGAAACCCCAAATATGGTTATGACAAGTGGAATCACAAAATAACAAACATTTTTACTTGTTTGTTACCTGTTTTGCACCTGCTACACATTCATTCTAATGTTTTTTTTTTTTTTTTTCCCTATGGCAAAAATGGTACTGTTGATTTGTGGGCATTCTCGTCTATGCCAACGAAGTCTATATAGTTTTATATATATAGTTTATAGACTTTTTTGTGTCTTATGGACTATTTAAACCAGTAGAAATGTTGTCCGAATCGCAATAAATTTTTTGAGCAGTAGGGACGCTGTGTTTACAGGTGCAAACTTGCTTTACCTTCACATCAACAGCTAGCAAGAGGTGGGGTGGCAGAGTTAAATGAAAGCAGTAATGTGTGCCAGACAAAACACAAACTGTGCGCAAATACTGCAAAAAACCTGGTTTATACTTCTGCGTCGAGTGATCGATGTGACCCACGGTGCATAGTGTTATCGTGCATTTATACCTTTGCGAGCTGTTTGTGTTGCTCTGCAATAACACTTCCGAAACGCTAGCTGGCAGTGAGGTTTTTATGTTCCTCTGTGTCGAGTTCTTCGCTGGTGTTTTGTTTTTTCTGAACGCTTCCTTAATGTACACGTAGCTGAAAATGAGCATGTTTTTATATTTCAATGAACTGTAAAACTGAAAGACTCAACAGTGTTGTTGTGTAACATTATTCTATAATAAACCTCACTGGACTTAATAGCAAAAGAGATTTTGAATAACAAAAACTGAATACATTTTACAATACATTCAATGCTACAATTACATTTACAAGCAAAATAGTGTAGTGTAAGCACTCTAAAGGTAATTTTTAGGGGTCTACATTGACTATTTGTTAAATAAAACTCATTTTACTGGATCTATTGAACAAATGGAGGTACAACCACAGCCATGCTAATCAGAAACAGCGCAATATACCTCAGTCTTTGCCTGAGGAGATTACAACAAGTGGTATTCATGTCATAAATTGTAACGTGATTGTTTAAATGTGCTGTATGTGTAAATATCCAAGACTGGAGGGCCTGTAAACATGATTGTCTGCCAGTTGAACTTATTCTGTTTAGATAAGCGAACATTGACTAATTGTAAGCATGTGTTCAGTGTTTGCTGTTAGCAAGTCTCTCTGAATTCAAGAGTCCTCTGTGAGAGACCTTTGCAAGTGGTATTCATTTCATTTCTGTGTCTTGTTTTCAATGCAGGGAAGAAGAAGTCCAAATTTCAGACGTTCAAGAATTTTTTCGTGAAGAAAAAGAGGAAGGAAAGTCTGTCTCCGTCGAGTGAGAGTGGATTGAAGGCCAGTCAATCTAGTGATGACGTTAACACTTCAGAGCCAAGTATCAGCCATGCTAAAAGCGACAATGACCCAGGGTGAGGAAAAACGATTTAAAGATACAATTATTTGTGAACTGTATCTCTGCTAAATATGTATGTATTTTTATTAGGACTGGGCTTAACGATTTGATGCAATAATGAATTAATGTCGACAATTGTTTTATCGCATTAACAGTTTTCTCTTTTCGAGTAGAATTAATAGGGTATATGCCGAAGCATGCTAATACAGTAAACGGCTTTTTGTCCCGTTTTACACTTGAGCAACTAAATGAATGCCAAAGTTTACTTAACTGAATGTATTTTAATCACATTACAACATCGATGCTGTAAAAGGAACCGTATAAAATGGAAAAAGTTCCCAACAACAGGTCACCGTAAGTTTATCAGTATGGGAACAACACTATCTCGGCATATACCCTATTGAATTTGTGATAAAAAACACTGTGCGAATTTGCGTGTTTTGTGGAAATTCACCTATATTTGCACATTTGCATTGACTTTCTATGTAATATACTAATACGAATACTTAATTTCGGTTTTGGTGTGAACCCAGCATATTATAATACTGCTGTCAGTGGAATGGGAAAAAATTGTTAAATGAATGAATAAATCGATGAAGTGAGGTAAATATTTCCTGTGCTTAGGTTAGTAGAGAGTAGTGAACATTATAGAGACCCTGTAGTTAATAAAGCAGTGTGGTGCAAGGAAAGTAACTGAGAACCACTAATGTAATGATCACTTAACTATTACTAAATTTCCTGGCAGTTGCAAATAGCTTTGGTTTTAAAATTGTTTGGTTACATTTGTAGTGACGATTTACAAAATATTTTTATATACGCTTCTTGGGTATACAAGAACTTTTCAATAGGGATGTAACGATTCAGCGTGAGCCGTTTGAAAATCTGTTCAAATATGTGACAGATAGAAATGTTGAACAAATTGCGATACATTTTTTTTAACAGTGGGGGCGCTGTTTATTGGCACAAACTCGCTTGCACATCAGCAGCGAGCAAGAGGTGGAGTGGCAGAGTAAAATGACAGCGGTGAAATGCGCCGGACAAAACACAAACTGTGTGCAAATACTGCAAAAAAAAAGGTTAACTTACACTAACAGAACAACGAAAATGATGCACATAAATCATCATCACAGTGGAAAAAACTACTGTCACAGATGTCTATACACAAAAAATAATAATAATAATTTATAAGCCAGAGTGCTATGGAGATAACACAGTGCATCAGTTTTTTAATAGTGAAAGTGTGAAGATGATTTTCAGACTGAAAGAGAAAGTTGTTCTCTTCTTATTTTTACCCTAATTGACCACCTCTGTTCACACTGCTCTCAGGTGTAGGAAAGATTTACCTCTTCAGACCAGCCATCTCAGTCCTCAGTGAAAGAGTTTTTTATCTGCAGGGGACATTGTAAATGATCAAAGACCTCAGCTTATGCCAGAAAACATAGACATGCTGATATTTCCGTATTATACTTCTTTATTTTGTATTAATCTGTTTTTAAAATAGCAATTTAATTATGACAGAAAATAGTTTGCAAAAAATGTAAAGAATTTAGGAAAAATGAAAGGGCTCTTTACCTCAAATTTGTTTCAGAATGTGATTAAGTGTGATTAATTATAGAAACATCATATTATTAATCACCATTTACTATATATATATATATATATATATATATATATATATATATATATATATATATATATATATATATTAGGGCTGTAACGATACACGATATAAAATCGAAATCGCGACACTCAGCTCTACGATCCTGTGTCGCGGTCTGATAAGGGAGAATCGCCACACACCCCGTGGCTACCTTTCCAATAACGTCACGCGTGCCTGCAAAAGTTGAGCTAGTTGAAGAAGAACGTGAGGAAACACTTTTTCCCGCTCGACATTACGAGCACTGCTCCGTTTAAGCCCTCGCAATTAGCGTTTAACCTGGAAAGCTCGCACAGAGCTCTTAGTAAGGGACCATCTGAATGTGTCAGGAATATCAAAAACAAAACCAACTTAACCCCTCTTGACAACCGACTACGGCAGAAACATTGCCAGTGCTGCCAAAGCATTGTTGTTAATGTGGCTGCGCAGAGAGGGATGGGCGTTCACCAGATGCCCCGACTCCTCTGCAGAGGAAACTTTTCTGTAACCGTGCTGTGCGCTTTCTGTTTGAACCTTTGAGAGTTAACGTTACGTGCTGACTGACAGCGCGATGCGTGAGGCCAGGAAACAGGACGAAGCTTTCAGTTAAGATGAACAGTTTCTATAGTTATACTTTATTTAGAGATAAAGGTATATGACTGTATATAATCACTCTATCTTGCTGGAGTTTATAGCCGTTTCGCTTCACTTCAGGACGCATAATGCCGCTCTGAAGGTCTAATCGCTTAAGTTATCCAGAGCTGTATGAATATACAAATCTTGAATATCATAATATTATTAAATATTACAATTGTAACAACACAGACAGCAACACCTATGCACAATCAATACCCAGCTGATTCAGTCGTTTCATAAGAGGACCGCGCTTCTTCTCTTCTTTTTTCCTTGTCAACATAAAGGCAGTGAGATGCGCCTTGTTTTCGGCTTATAAAGCATGTATGCACATTAATGCAATAGCATATTTAAACAACAAAACTGTTTACAAAAAGTCTACATATGCGCGCGTGTTGTTGTCTTTTCATCACGCAGCACGCGCACTTGAACCGCGAGGGAGAGAGAGGAAACCATCAGGACATATTCTTTAAAATAATGATTTCTATTAAAATGTAAAAGGTTTTGTTATTATAATAATAACAGCGGGACATTAAATAAATGCATATTTTCCGTGGAGCGGGCAATTTGAGGAAGACTGCGATTTTTATTTGACAGAAGAAAAAACATGATTGGAAAAAAACAGCCTATGCCGGTTGTTAAAAAGAATCAGTCAGTATTTTCGTTTTGTAATATAAATTAATTATTTAAATGAAAATAATTTAGGGCAGTCCTATTTATTTTATTCATTTTATTTAAATTATTCTGCTCTTCTGTGCGAAACACTGCAGGTGCGTAAAGATGCTCTGTTGTTCTGTTCTGTTATTAATATGCTAGCATTTAAAAATAAATCAGTAGCCTATTTTCAAATGCAATATTTAATGTGTCCGACACAAAATAGACACGTCAATTTGTTTAATATAAAATTAATAGTAATCTGACCAGTTAACCGTTAATAACCGATTAATGAGCGGCGGTTGTCTGTTGGCAGAATTAACTGAAATGAGCATCCCTATATAGTAGCCATTTAATTTACTTTTTCTATGTAAGAGAACTTGATTGAAAAATAATTTTTAACATGCTTGAACCATCTACACAATGGAGTTTAGTTCTGTTTGGTTTTTCAAAAGTATTTTGTTACAAAGAAAACAAAAATGATATAATTTTATTTAATAAAAAATAGTTTTAAAAATATTTTTTCCCCGCCCCACACGAAAAAAAAAAATCGTGATACGAATCGAATCGTGGGTTTGGTGTATCGTTACAGCCCTAATATATATATATATATATATATATATATATATATATATATGTATGTATGTATGTATGTGCGTGCATGCATGTGTGTGTGTGTGTGTATATATAGATTAATACTTATTTTAGCACTATTTTTTACATGCATGTATAGTAGAGTAGCATCATTGATCTCCTCAGGTAAAAATGAGTAAGAACACCAATAAACAAAGTTTGAGGCTGCATTGCGAGTCTTTAAAGACTGTATGGGGAGCCATAAATTTAAACAATGTTTTCATTCTGGGACTCCAAACCCTAGCAGGCTTTCTAGAAAGCAATTTAGGGAATCGCCTGCAATCATGACAAACACTGTGTAGTAAGTGTTTGATTTAAACATACCATCTTTCATTTAAAGCTCCAAGATCAACTTGGGAAACAAAGCCATGTCACATGACAGTGTCTTCGTCTCTGATTCGCCGTCTTCAGAGAATAACGAAGGTCTGGGCACATCACAGGACAGCTTACATGGAAAAGTGAAATCCTTACAGGTATTTCTACAGCTCTTATGTTTAATTTCTACAGTATCTCAAAGGTGTTTTAAAATGTATCATATTTTGTAATAAATAAAATGGCTATATGTTCTGATTGTAATATTAGGATTATATCATGAAGCTAAACTGTTTATTATTGTTATTATTATTATTATTATTATTATTATTAATGTTATTGTTAATGTTTTTGTTATTTTTATTATTATTATTAATAATAATAATGTTGTTGTTATTATTATTATTATTAGTAGTAGTAGTAGTAGTAGTAGTAGTAGTAATATTATTATTATTATTATTATTATTATTATTTTGTCCTATCCTAGGACTTACAAAAAATGAAAATTACAAAATTCACACAAACCAAGGTTTAAATGGTATAAACACACTCATGTTTAAAACTTCACTCTGAAAAAAAAGTTTACAGGGATTGCTTCAAACTAAAGTAAATTAAACTTACACAAAATTAAATGCAATACAAAATGTAAGACAAAAAACAGAAACGCTACATCAATTAATGGTTAGACTACTATGAAGACTTTCAGTCTCTGTTTTGTTCGCTGTTTGTGTAAAGTTGCGTTTGAGTGCTCAGGTGCACTATATAAATATCTTCTTTTTCCTGTTCTACTCTTGTAATGAGTATTAGTGATGGCAGTTCACTGGACTTTAGTATAAAATTAGCAAGTCTAAGCCTCAAGACACAGAGCTTGAGATTTTCACTGTTGACATTTTGCCACCAGCCCAATCTAGTCAGCGGGGATCATCATCAATGCCACTGATCAACAGAATAGAAAACAAAAACAAAAGTGAGCTTAAAGTGATGGAGTAAGTTCATAACAGATGCCTACAATGGCACATTTTTCACAAATAATATGTCATTGGTTAAATGCTACTTAGTGGTCTTGATACTTTTATATTATTACTTGTAGACACACCGAATAGACAACAATTGAGCCCGACATGACTGGAGCTTAGCAGTGAAAGTTAACGTTCATCTATATCGAGAGGAATCAACAATTCTGAACTACTGTTCAAAAGACATAGGGGAAAAAACAGAAAAGAGATATACTGTATAATACTATTGTTGACTGTTCAAAAATTCTTTCTGAAAGAAGCCTCATATGCTTATTAAATTTCCAGTGAAAATCAAAATAAAGTTTTTAGACGTTAGTATCAGTATGTTAAACTTATGGGTGTCTAAAAGATGTGCTCCAAACCAGTGAGAAATTTTGCATTTAGGAAATATAAACAGCTTGCATTTTGTCATTTCTACCTAAATGGTTAAACTTTTTAATGCCTCCTGTTACATTCGTTTCTCATCAAATCTTCTCACCAATCAAATGCGCTGTAGTTTCTGATCTCTCACCCCTTTATTGCTATATGTCAGGGGTTCTTAAACTTGGTCCTCGAGGTCCAGTGTCCTGATGATTTTAGCTCCAACTTGCCTCAACACACCTGCAAGGATGTCTCTAGAAAGCCTAGTAGGAGCTTGATTGGGGTTGGAACTAAACTTTGCAGGACACCAGGCCTGTTAAATGCACTAGAGCTCAATCACCATCACTGGCAAAGCTGTGATGAAAACAAAACAGGGATGGCTGCTTTTAAAAAAAGGGGAGGAGCTACTCGATTCTGCCCTGTCTTCATATCTCAGATCAAATTACATCACACAGAAGAAAAATGCATATTTTAAAACACTTCATGGGACCTTTAAGGGTTCCCTGCAGGCACATGATGTCATATTGATTTTTTACCCCAACGTCGTGAGGACATTAGATTTGGTTTGAAAATGAAAATCGTGTTGATGTTAAAATCTAATGTCTGGCCGACGTCAATGTCCAACGTCCAACCTAAAATCAACCAAATATCACTGTGTAATCGTGTTACACCTTGAAGTTGTGTGGACGTTACCACTATGACATCTATCAGACGTTGGATTTTGGTCACTTTTCAACACAACCTAAAATTGACCAAATATCAACATAATTTGTCGTTTTTGGACGTCAAAATAACACTGTCCTTAAACGTTGGCTAGATATTGAATTTTGGTAACCTGACGTCAAGACCTAAGTCTTACCTAATATTATCATCTTATGATATTGTGTACCTGCTGGGTTTATTCCCACAGAATGCATTTTTCTATTCCAATACGCCACTTTGCCATTATTTTTCAATGTATATGGACTTGATGGACATGGATGACCTTTATGCTTGTGTTTCATGTCTTTGGAAGTGCTGTGTGCGCACATGAGAGCAGTGGTTTTTAGAAGCCATGTCAAATTTTAAAAAGTGCAAGTCATCAGAATCATTACAAATCAGTGGACCAATCAGACAAACTTAGAGGCGGAGACGTGTTGAAAGTTTTTGTTCACAGACACTTAGGGCATACTTACACTATGTACAGTTGCCTTGAATCGGGCCAAAGCCCACTTGTCCCCCTCCCATCTCCCCCGAAACCCGCACTCACATTACATTCGAGCCTGGGCAAGATTACGTCATTAATGCTGCGCTCTCTCACAGTGGAGATTTCTTTAGTTATATAATTTAAGTCGTTTTGATATACAGTGTCATATATTTCGCCAAACAGATCAGCCACTTTTGATGCTCATAAACAACCATAGAGTACTCGTGCTGCAGGAATTAAGAGGTTTACTGAAGGCGCGCAGCAGGTAGTAGTGAATTGATTTATCTGTTTGAACAGTTGTTGATAGTTTGTGTGATGTCTGTAGCTGCAGCTGAAGCAAGCCATTCGTCTGGGTTCTCCACCGGCACTGCTCTGTGGGAGGAAAGCGGAGGACACTGGGGCTTTTTCTGAAGATGATGGTCTTCCCTGCAGCCCGCCAGACTACTCCAGCCTCCACACTGTACTGGCTACACCTCTTCACACGGTACCCCTCTTTGTGCACTCATACTTTCATCAGTTTATACTTTCAGGTTTCTTCATGACTGATAAAGCTTTGATTTGTGATGAGCACAAACTGTTGAAAGTCCCACACTAACTTTAAAAGTCAGACTGAAACAAACAGGAAACTTGTCCAAAATAAACGTCACTCACTGCATGTTTGACTCTCATCAACAGTTTGTTTTGGTGTAAAAATATCTGTCCTACTTCTTTTTTATTAGCTCTCTGTGAACAACTGGTTTCAATAAAGGCTCTTTTTTACTAAGGAGGAAGTTTTCAGAGTGTATTTTCACAGTCTGTGTTCAAAGATCCACAGTTTGATGGGTTTTTTTTATTTACTTGTCTTTTTCTCTGTTGTTTTTATGCATGTGCATAGTTGAACACAGCCTTTCAAAATACTCTCGATAGATGAATACACAAGTGCTTAACACTTTCATCCTTGTCGAATTTATTTGAAGCATCTAGTCAATAATAACTAGACACTATTTATATATATATAATATATAATGAAAACATACTGAGCCAGCTAAGGGCGACGTGGTGGCGCAGTGCGTAGCATGTTAGCCTCACAGCAAGAAGGTCACTGGTTTAAGCCTCGGCTAGGTCAGTTGACGTTTCTGTGTGGAGTTTGTATGTTCTCCCCATGTTCCCGTGGATTTCCTGTGGGTACTCCGGTTTTCGCCACAAATCTAAAGACATGTAGTATAGGTGAATTGGGTAGGCTAAATTGTCTGTAGTGTATGTCTGTGAATGATTGTGTGTGGATGTTTCCCAGTGATGGGTTGCAGCTGGAAGGCCATCCACTGCGTAAAACACGTGCTGGATAAGTTGGCGATTCATTCCGCTGTGGCAACCCCTGGATTAATAAAGGAACTAAGCCGGGAAGAAAATGAATGAAGGAATGAGCCAGCTGACCAATCAGTATTTCCTGTACTTTAATGAATGACAGGGTTTATTGAGAACTGAAAGTGAAAGTCCTCGTCAGTAGAAATGTGCAATATAGGAGAAATACACTTAATGGTCACTTTATTAGGTACACCTGTACAACTGCTCGTTAACACAAATTTCTAATCATCCAATCTAGGGTTTTAACGGTATGAATTTTTTTACGGTATGATAATCGTCTAAAACAATACTACGGTTTGACGGTTTCGCGGTATACGGTATGTTACAAATGTTACAAAATAATAGAACAGAGAAGCAAATTTGACTTTTTCCAAATAATATATTTTTAGTTACTATAAACAACACCACTTACAATGAACAAATAAAAAAATAAGAAAATAATAAATAATGTGTCAAAAGTCCAAATAAACATGGTGCAAATCCTCAGTAAAAAAATAGATATAAATATTTACTATACTATAAATAGTTACATAACGAAACTAGATTCAATATGGAACATCCTTAGGTTATATGTGCCAGCATGGATATGGTTGTCTGTGGATATGGATTTGGATATGGTTGTCTGCAATGCAGACAAACAACTGCACCTTCATTTGCGTCTTTTGAAAACAGCAAGAGCAGCAGTTCGTCTTTGCTGTGTCACTGTTTTGTCATGTTTCTGTGCTGCTGTGCATGCAAAAGTACTTATTATGAGAATTATTTCATGCAAAACTTTTTTTTTTTTTTTGCGTTTTATTTAGCCGCGCATAAATGTATGCCTATCTCTCATTCCGTGTTGTTCAAAAAGCTCATTGTTGGTCCACAAACAAAAGCGAAACCTATGCTTATTGGTTGTGATATAGCGAGTTTGAACCAATCTGGGCATGGGGGAGGGACAATGCATCAATGTATCATGTCTGGTTTGTCCGGAGACACAGTGACGAGCGTTTCTTTGTCAAATCAGCGTTGTCAAATTTTGATGACGTAACTGCACTGATTCCGGAGCCTCTGAAAGTCCGCGAATGTTATGTGATACAGCACTGGAAAGCTGAGATTCTCTTCTTAATGCCAACTTTTGAATTGTATGAATCGGATCAGCGGATCAAAAGTTTCATTTAAGAGCAATACTTATTTTTAGCCGCGGGCGGCTGTCTCGGTCTTTAAGGGTTAAAACCGTTGATATGCAATTGTTCATGGTATGATAATCGTGCACGTTCAAATCGTGGTAGACCGTCATACCGGTATATTGTTACAACCCTAATCCAATCACATGTCAGCAACTCAATGCATTTAGGCATGTAGACATGGTCAAGACGATCTGCTGCAGTTCAAACCAAGCATCAGAATGGGGAAGAAATGGGGATTTAAGGGGCTTTAAACCTGGCATGGTTGTTGGTGCCAGATGGGCTGATCTGGGTATTTAAGAAACTGCTGATCTACTGGGATTTTCATGCACAGCCCCGTGTTTCCTCTAGGATTTTTTCCAGCTGTGGCGGCAGGCCTTTTTTTTGTACAAAGATCTACCAGCTACCCGTGGCAATATTTTAATGACAAATGTCATGAGCACAGTATTACAAGTCGAGATTGCATTTGTGTAATAGCCTACAAGCATGCGAATCTCTTTGCTTGTGCGCCGATTTCCTCTGCTTGTGCAGAAAACTTCTTGCACGCCCTCTCAAATATACGCTGCTCAGTGCAGATCTTCTTGTCTGTTCTCAAATAAACGCTGCTGAAGTGCGATTTAGTGTGTTTATGTAACAAGTATGTCTAAAAACATTTATTAGATTTATTTATTAGACTAGGAACCTTTATGAATGTCTTCAATAGACTTACAGAGCAGCATTAATGCGTCCTGAAGTAAAGTGAAACGGCTATACATCGTGTTCGCTGGCCTCATGCGGCACGCACCTGTCAGTCAGTCAGTCTCTCAGCACGTAACCTTAAAGGTTCAAATGAATAATGCACAGCACTACTACAGTTGCAGAAAAGTTTGCGTGGTTATAATTCACTTACCTTTTAATACGTTTTGGTATGATTATTACCCTCTATTTAAAAAAAAAAACACAACTAATGTTTTGGATGAAAAGCTGTAATGTAGCCATGGCGGGATCAATTTTGGCATGGCGCCCTGCCATGGAAGAATGAATGTAGCGGAAATCATGCAACCATCTCTAGGGTTTACAGAGAATGGTCAGAAAAAGAAAAAATATCGAGCAGCAGTTCTGTGGGTACAAATGCTTTGTTGATGCCAGAGGCCAGAAGAGAAAGGTCAGACTGGTTCCAGCTGATAGAAAGGCAACAGTAACTCAAATAACCACTCATTACAACTGAGGTATGCAGAAGAGCATCTTTGAAGACACAACACATCCAACCTTGAGGCAGATGGGCTACAGCAGCAGCAGACCACACCAGGTGCCACTCCTGTCAGCTAAGAACAGGAAACTGAGGCTACGATTCACACAGGCTCATCAAAATTGTACAATAGAAGATTGGAAAAACGTTGCCTGGTCTGATGAGTTATGATTTCTGCTGTGACATTCGGATGGTAGGGTCAGAATTTGGCTTAAAAGCATGTATCCATCCTGCCTTATATCAACAGTTCAGGCTACTGGTGCTGGTGCAATGATGTGGGGGATGTTTTCTAGGCACACGTTGGGCCCATAAGTATCAATTGAGCATAATGTCAACACCACAGCGCACCTGAGTATTATTGCTGACCATGTTCATCCCTTTATGACCACAGTGTACCCATCTTCTGATGGCTACCTCTAGCAGGCTAATGTGCCATGTCATAAAGCCCAAATGATCTCAGACTGATTTCTAGAACATAACAATGAGTTCACTGTACTCAAATGGCCTCCACGATCATCAAATATCAATCCAATAAAGCACCTTTGAGATGTGGTAGAATGGGAGATTCACTTCATGGATGTGCAGCCGACAAATCTGCAGCAAATGATGCGATCATGTCAATATGGACCAACATCTCTGAGGAATGTTTCCAGTACCTTGTTGAATCTATGCCATGAAGGATTTAAGGCAGTTCTGAAGATAAAATGGGGTCCAACCTGGTACTAGCAGGGTGTACCTAATATAGTGGTCGGTGAGTGTAATGTGCTTTTGAATCTCATGGAACTTATGTAAATGTGTTCTAGTAGATCACAAAAAAAAAGACTTGTGAATGAGTATAATTTTGGCACTTTTAGGCATTCAGTTACTTACATAATTAAGTTCAAAGTTCATATATTTGTTTACATTTTTTAAATTTTTTATGTATGCAGATTCATTTTAGTATATATTTGCAGCCTAAAATTACTGATTTTGTTTGGCTTTTCCCAAAACTTAAGTCATTATTTGTTTCAATTCTTTTGTGTTTTTTTTAAATACACATAAATATTGGATTTTTTTACTCTAGAGTAATACATATGCACTGAAATCACTGATAATTTGCCATATACACTTAAATATTTTGCTTAATTTAATATAAAAAAAACTCTTAAATACATTGTACTTTCATCACCAGACAGAATCGAATCTAAAGTCAAGCAATCAAACGCACTGTGCTGAATGTGTTCAGCATGCGTGAGTATTTTTGGCTCTGTGAAAAGCGTGTAAGAGCCTCAGACATCACGAAGCATGATTGAATAGACAGGAAGCTCCCTGTTGAGTTCTCTAACAGGATTAGATGCAGTGTTGTTCCCCTCGCTATACCTGCCTTCTCTGAAATCTCTTCAGTCCCTGTCCTCACCTTCCCTGAACTCCAACATAACAGAGACTAAAGCTGTGGTTTAATTTAGAAAATATAGTGAGAGTGATCTTTGATAGGTTGCAGCCTAAATATTTTACTCCAGATTATCAAATCAATATGTTTCATGACATAATATTGCTTTAATATCTGAAGATTGTATTTATTTTTTGGGAGAACTTTTTATTTTTTCTAATTTAAAAAGGATATTAATGTAAGATGCCTCTTTCTTATTACAGTCGGTGGATTTGACCCAGAGTTCCCTGAGCATGGAGGCATCAGACAGTGAAGATGATCAGGTGACACATGCACCTACACATGCTACATATGGCAAATCTCTTGAGGGTCTGTCAAGGGCCACTTTACCGCTATGCTTCTGTTTCCCTAATCATTTCATTCCATGCTGATTTGGTCATATCAGCACAGAAATGGTTTCATTTTCCTTGGTGTTGCTGATAATGGGACTCATTGGAATGTAAAACAAAGTCTCAGTCACCATTAAATAATTAGTATAAAAGGGAAAAAAAAATAAATAAATAAATATTTATATTAGACATTTTCATGCATTGGGTTAAATCCATAGACTGTAAAATATATGGACGTAGTATCCGTGACGTCACCCATAGGTTTCTAAAGAGCGCAAAAGAAGCCACAAGTAGTCGCGGCCAACCGTCGCCATTTTGTTCACGCGTCATCACACCCACGGCGGGATACCAAACAAGGGGAAAGAGGCGGAGAGTGAGCGGAGCTACAGACACCTGCTAGCATTTAGCTTGGACCTGGTTCAGACACACTTTACTTTGGGAGAACGCTTAATACTTTATCACCTGTGACTCGTTTGTATTCTGACCACTTGTGCTTGGTTGTATACTATATCAATAAAGTGTTTAGCCTTTTAAAAACACTGCTGTAATACATTGAGCCACTAAACATTGTTCTTATGACGTTTTTCAACAGGAGGAAAACGCGAATTACTTCCAAACACTTCAGATATAGTCTGTGTTAGTTAATGCAAGACTATTGATGAAATCCAGCATAACACTGTATGACAACACTTCAGATGACTGTTCTAGAACCTACAGCTAATCAATCTGACAGATTCAGAAGTGCATTACAGCTCTAAATATAAATATAAACAATAAATGATCTTAAATAAAACAAATACATGTATAGAGATGGTATATAAGTATGTAACTTTACTCACATGGGAAACGGAGGCCACGTGAATGGTTTGTGAGCACAATTAAGTGCCCTCAGCATGCAATGCCATCTAATAATTGTAGGAAACAAGTCCAAAAGGCATTTGACTGTGTAAAGCCACATAAAACAACACAGAAATACGATAAATATGCCAAGTTCAGTGGCTAACCTGCCAGATTCAGCTGAGGTGACGTGACGGCGACCAACGAGACCTAGCTGTCAATCAGGTGGCCACTCCCTTAATTATGCAAACTTAATATAATTTAATATAAAGGAAACGGATGAGTTATAAAAAAATTCACCCCCTCACAGTTGTCATGAAGGGTAATATTAGCTGTATTAACCAAAATCGTTTTTTGTACCAGGCTGTAAACACCTTTTTTTCTGCTGTAAAGTTGGCCATTCTAACAGTGGGCTCAATTGAAATTTGCTCTGTTTTGGAGCCAGGAGCGGCCAGGACTAGCGGAATTTCGGATGAATTGCAGTTTTAGTTACTTCCGTATTGGCTTCCTGAGAGAGAGCGGGAGGTTGCCGCTTGGTTAAATCAGGCTCTGCAGTCTCCATGTTCAGTCCATTATTTCCACTGTATCTGTTCAGCTGAATTAATGGAACCAACCCCATGAAATCAGACACAACGATATTCCAAAATGGCGGCGCCCTAGGTCTAAAATCTATAGTAAAACATGTTGCTTTCTGCTAAATGGTTACGTTAATCGAGTTTGTTATATAAATTTCCATTGAAGTATAAATCAATTTACAAAAATTGTCTTTAAAATGTAAATACTGTCACTTGACAGATAGAGGATGAGACATCAGCGAGCAAATCAAGGCAACAGCTCGACTAGTGTATTCAGCATTGAACTCTGTCTTAAAAATGGGATTGTTTATGTTTTTACTATAATAAATTCATAATAAAATGATACTGCATCGGTAATTAATGTTTTAAAGCAACGTTTTCATGTAACCCGGTTTTAGTGTTATTTAATGTAATACGGTTTGCTTGGCCCACGGCTCTAAATCAAGTTTAGTTTTTGGTCCTCTATAAGAAAAACCTTAAGCACCCCTGGCCTGGATCTTTAAAATAGAGCCTCTAGTGGTTGAACTAGGTATTTCAGATCAAAAACCAACTCATATAAACCACCCGCTACTGTCCTCTGGAAGTCGTGCATGCCTGCATACATTAATTCTGCCATCGTAACTGAAATAAAATATGCTGTGTTTCCTGGGTTGTCAAAATCAAGTAAACTGCCAGTGTCCAAAAAAAAGAGAGATATTGCGACACGAAACACATTTTCAAAGGAGAATAATTGACTTTAACATTGTTTTTCAGGTAAACAAGTATGTTTACTTAGCATGTTTCTTGAATAACTGCTAACATATTATGACAATAAAGATTCTAACTTAAAAATTGAAAAAAAAAATCCCTTTGGGATTTTGAAAAGGTTCACAATCAAATGACAGCATTAAATGGGATTTTAAAATGACCTCCAAAAAAATTTTTAAAAGCATGCCAAAAAAGTAGATGACGAAGTAAATTAAATAAAAAGACTGTCAGTGTGCATACAGACCTCTACTTCATAAGAGTTGCATTGGTTGTCAAATATTCATACTTGCCCAAAAGACAAAAAGCACCATATGTACAGTATGTGCATAATGTCACAATCATGTCATAGTTTGCACAAAGTCAATAATAGCATAACTTTCATTTTTATGTAAATGAATGAGCTATAAACATAACAAATTAGTATTAAGTTGACAATAAGCAGTATCATGTAAACGCATTACAATACATTTGATATAATTAAAAGCTAATTTTGCTCTGTGAAGTTTTCCAGCTTGACTGTAGTTTGGCTATTTTTGTTTAATCTGTGGCTGACTTTCTGTGCAAATTAATTTGTTTATAGGTGTCGCTTTCGATTCATACATTTAAAATACATACATCAATTTCCATATAATGTTTGGCATCCTTGCAGATCATTTGAATTGAGTACCTCTGGGTGTGCATCAACACGTTTGGAAGTTAACCATAACGTTCAGTGATTCACACTCCAGGAATGTTCTTATCTGCTGGTGTTTTGGCTAGTGTGGACAGTGCAGAATTTGCTCAGCTAAGTGCGGTATTCACGGATACTGATGATTTCAGAACAAGCAATTTGTAATCACAGTTTAGAACACAAATTTTGGAGAGCAGGACACTGCTTGTGTCCAGTAGTTGCATTTGAATTTCAAATGAAAGTGAAATGAAACCTGTCCGACCACTGAAAGGGCAAACACATCTCACACAAGCACCTACCAAAAGCTGCAAAACAATCTCCAACCACTGAAAAACATGCACTTTTGGATTTGTCTTGTTGCCAGGGCTTTAAATAGCTGTCATGTGTTTGTGTTATGCAATGCTTTAAGCTCAACCATGGGCTGTTTTGAAAAAAATGGGTTTGGGTGAGAAATATAATAGTGTTGGAGTTTAAATGGAATTAATTTTGCCAGCTATAAAGTTTGCTGGTGCATTTTATATATCTTGAAGTCAGAATTCTTACCCCCGTTTATTTTTTTCCTAATTTCTGTTTAACGGAGAGAAGATTTTTTTAACACATTTCTAAACATAATATTTTAATAACCTTTTTCTAATAACTCATTTATTTTATCTTTGCCATGATGACAGTAGAAAATATTTGACTAGATATTTCAAGACACTTCTATACAGCTTAAAGTGACATTTAAAAACTTAACTAGGTTAATTAGGTTAACTGGGCAGGATAGGGTAATTAGGCAAGTTATTGTATAAAAATTATTTTTTTCTGTAGACTATTAAAATGTATTGCTCAAAGGGCCTAAAAATTGTGACCTTAAAATTATTTAAAACATTTTAAAACTGCTTTTATTCTAGTCGAAATAAAACAAATAAGACTTTCTCCAGAAGAAAAATGTTATCAGACATACTGGGAAAATTTCCTTGCTCTGTTAAACATCATTTGGGAAATATTTAAAAAAAGAAAAAAATAATTCTGACTTCAACTGTGTTTATAATTTTACCATTCATAAGTTTAAAGGGATAGTTCACCCTAAAAAAAAAATTAGCTCATCATTTACTTTTTTCTTATGTGTTTTTAAACCATTATGAGTTTCTTGAAAACAAAAGAAGATATTTTAGGGTGCTTTCACACCTACACTTTTGTTTCGGAACGTGTCTCGTTTGCCCAGTTAGCGCGGTTCGTTTGGCATATGTGAACAGGGCAATCGCACTCTGTTCCGCGCCAAAGTAATCGCTCCGAGATCGCTTGAGTGAGGTGGTCTCGGCTCGATTGAAACGAACCCTGGAGCGGTTCGATTGCAGTAAAAAAGCGATCCAATCCGAGCGCGGTTATATCACAGTGTTTTATGGATATGTAATAGGCTTACGGCCATATGAAGAGAGAATTATGAATATGGCGGGAAGTTTCGCGAGTCTCCGGATGCCCGCAAACGAGTGATGATCTCCCGGTAATCTCGCGTCTTCCTCCCAGTCCTCAAATATGCATCGTCGCGCACCCTTCTCACCCCTCCCCACCGCATCTCTCCTCAGACACGTCGCGCGCGTGCACCCTGTCAATCACCACCAAACCACCACCTCTCCTGACAGTTTAGCGGGACGCTGCAAAATAAACCCTGACACTCTGACCAATGTGAGGACAGTTTACTCGCACGTGACTTGTTTTAGCTATTTTAGTCCGATTAGAAACTTTGCAATGTGAAAGCGAACCGCTCCAAGAGCAAAGAGCAACAATGTAACATTTATAATCTCTGTTTCGGAACAACTGAATCGATTCACAGGTGTGAAAGCACCCTTAAACAATGCTGGTTCTGGTACCAATTGACTTCCAGAGTAAGGACAAATAGTTTGGAAGTCAATGGGTGCAAGCAACCAGCATTTTTCTAAAATTCTCAATAACAGAAGAAAGCAAATCAAATGGGTTTTGATCAAGTTAAGGGGGAGTAAAAGGTGGCTGAATATTTGTGTTTGGTTGAACTGTCTCTTTAAGGTTTACAACATCTTTCAAACAAAACAAAAAATACATCGATAAAAAAAAGAAGTATTTAATCAAAAATAACACACAATCCCTAAGAAATCATTCTAATTGATTTGGTTCTCAATCAAACATTTATAGCATTGTTAATACAAAATAGTAGCTCTGAAAAATGACTTTTTTACGACAAAAGCACACTCATGCTTCATGGAAGTGTTTTAGGTGTATATTAAAGATATCCAGATCCGATCATGTAATCAGGCTCGATCATGCCGTTTCAGACTCGAACGGAATCAGACGTTACCACCCGATCAGAACTCGAGTATATAAGTACAGTTAAAGTCATAATTATTAGCCCCCCTTTGATTTTATGTATTTTTATTCTTTTTAAAATATTTCTCAAATGATGTTTAAAAGAGCAAGGACATTTTTACAGTATGTCTGATAATATATTTTCTTCCGGAGAAAGTCCTATTTGTTTTATTTAGGCTAGAATAAAAGCAGTTTTACATTTTTTAAGAACTATTTTAAGTTCAAAAATATTAACCCCTTTAAGCTATATAATTCTTCGAAAGTCTACAGAACAAACCATCGTTATACAATAACTTGATTATTTATAATATCCTGCCTAGTTAACCTAATTAACCTAGTTAAGCCTTTAAATGTCACTTTAAGCTGTATAAAAGTGTCTTGAAAAACATCTAGTCAAATATTATTTACTGTCATCATGGCAAAGATAAAATAAATCAGTTATTAGAGATGAGTTATTAAAACTATTGTGTTTAGAAATATGCTGAAAAAAATCTCTCCGTTAAACAGGAATTGGGGGAAAAAAAATAAACAGGGCTAATAATTCAACTGTATAAATATTCTTATTATTTTTTAACACATCTATAGTTATGCTGTGGCACAGAGTTAGACCACTTTCTTGACACAGAAAAAGCAACGCGTGCGGCAGGACATCCCTTTTTTGACCAGTTTCAAAATTATTATGCACCAATTTTTATTTACCATTTTATAGTCAAGCACAACCAGAGCATTTTTTATATCTATTATCCATAGCGGTCTGAAAAGAAAGGAAAGTATATGATATTTTATGTGATCTGTTCCTTTAAATCTCAAATCATTTGATCACTACAAACATTTCACAGCATTGTTAAGTCCTGACTGTCGGTTTCTGGGGGTTGTATTAGGCGGTGTTCAACGGCAGGGGTTACGAGTGAAGTAGGAGTGTGGTCTGAAAAGCATTCCAGCGGTTCACCCTTGCAGCCTGGCTGTCTGCTAGAAATGGGATATTCCAGCAATCTGGGTCAAAACGGCTGCCAAGCTGGACCTGAGCGCTTGCACAAACACACTGCAGTCTCACATATAACTCACTCACATGAGTTCCTGACATACTGCACAGTTATAAGCACATCATTGCATGTTTTTCCACTTGTAAAAGTATCTAATGTTCTCTTTTCTTAATCATAGTATGTACTCAAATGCTAAATCAAGTGATTTTACTGATGTGAATGTTTAAATATCACAAGCTTTAATCCACAAACAGTTTCTTCACTGTTTTTGAATATCAGCTATACTGTTTTTATAAAGCACCCATGAAATGTATTCAGCCCAGGATCATTGGAAATATGTTCTTCAGCATGCATTTCTTGCTAAACGTAACATACATTGCTCTGGATGTGTTTTGTTACATGTTTCAGATAACAAGTCTAATAGAAAATCTAATTCTAAATCTACATATTTGCAAATCTGAAACAAGTTACTTGGGGTTTGTTTTGTTGTATGTTTTAGATTCACATCTTTCTTCTACATGTAGATCACCTAGCAAAACATTGACCTAAACCCAATCATAGTGTTTTCGAAAGCAAACTTAAGAGGAAAACTTTTACCTTGATTTTACATTACTTTTATGAAACCGAGCTATATATAGACACTGTTGAGTTGTTTTATAGTATTTATTTGGTGCAAAGAAAATACAAAACAAATTCTTTTATTCATTGATAATATGAATATAAATATCATTAGTGTGAAAAGGAACAATAGCTCTTGTTGTCAATCTGCCCCGAAGTGTCCATTTAACCTAGAAACTGCAGTCAAACATATGTGTAGGTACAGTATGTTTTTGTGGTTTCATTAAAATGTAGGCTGAAGCATATGTTTCCAATGATCCTGTATCGAATTCATCTTTTTGGGTGCTAGTTATGAAATGAAAAGAACACAAAGCTTTGTGCCACGTTCTTCATATGAATCAAGCAGTAAAATTGCCCACTCCTTTCTGAGAGCACTGATTAGTTAGATGGCTCAATTTGCTGTGGATTTTCACTTCCAGTGCGTGTCAGAAACCAAACGCCTATTACCATATCTACAGTGCCTATAGAAAATTATCATACGCTGCTAAAATCTTCAACTTTGCTCACATTACATCCATCACACTTTAAAAGGGTCTTTGAGATAATGCTGTTGAAAGACACAGGTTAGGAGAAGGCTACTAAAACAAAGGCTTGAAAAGTTATCTGGAATGTCATTTGATTTCAGGCTGTATGACAAATAAAGTCATTATTTCAAAGAGGTATCATGATTTTCTATTGACACTGTAAATTCCAGCTCGGAAGGTTTCCTCTGCTCTTCTAAACACAGTCATATGGAATAGCTCATATAAGACGGGCAAATAAAGCAGTGTTTCCATCCTGAGAAGTCAAAGAGAATAAAATCATCATTTCCTGATTAACTGGCACAAAATATCAAAAGACAAATTAAAAGTGTTTTTATTGTAGTTTATGCACATCTTTTTTATCGAAATAAAAGTAAAAGCACATCTTGGCATTTCCATTAACCGTTTTTTATAAGCATTTCCAGAATGTGCATAAAAATAGGTGGATGGAAACGTAGCTTATGTCTTCAGTTTTACCACAAGTTTGAATACAAGTTCTTTAAAACACTGCTTCTTCTCAACATGACAAAAACCTCATCCAAACTCTTCTCAGCTACTGTTTTTGGGCAAAAGGAGATGTTGTGTGCAGGTAACCAGTGGGTAAACAAAATTGTATACTGGAATTATGCAAATTTGTTACAAAACCTACATAAGTTTTGCAAGAGGTTAAGCTGGAATTACTAACTACTGATTTCAGGTAGTTCCGAATCAGTTCTTCCTTTGGGCAGACTTCATTTATTGTTCACTTTGCTCTTTAAAACTTTATAGAAATGTGAGTGTGCTTTCACAGTAGCTGTGAAAGCATCTTAAAGTGTCTGTAAAGTGTCTGAACGCTGTCACACCCACAAACCACACCTGAGTCTGCCTGGAAGGTGGTGGTCTGGGCTACGGTTCAAGCGAACTCTGGTACGGTTCACTTCTGATATGAATGCAATGGGACCAAATAATGGAAGTGAACCGCCGACTGTACAACAAACTTCAGTTTTCATATATTAATAAGCAGAAATAGTTTTCAACATTGATATTAATAAAAACCACTATAGTTAATAATAGTAAACCAGTAATAATTGACTACTTTCACACTAGTACTTTTGGTCTGCACCCGGGTTCGTTTGAAGTCATAATACGGTACGTTTAGCTAGTGTAAACGCTGTCGCACCCACAAACTGCACACGAGTTCACCTGAAAGAGGTGGTCTGGAGTACGGTTCATGCAAACTCTGGTACGGTTCAGTTCTATTATGGATGCAATCGTACCAAATTATGGATGTGAACTGCCGACTGTACAACAAACTTAAATTTTCATAACGTTTATTTGTGTGTATGTGTATGTCTGTGTATAACCTACCTTTGCAACAAGCGGGACCCAGTGCAAACTGTGATAATGTCTGCTTATCTCCACCAAAAACGACTTCTGCAAACATCACATGATGTTTTTAAAAATTTTGCGCTAGATAGATGCATGTGGTGCAAAGAGATGCAAAATCTCTGTATTTTGGTTTTGGTGTCAAAGGCAAAGCATACCAGAATTCAGAAGGAAAAAAGACGGTGTGAACACAAACCAGCTGAGAAGGTGGCAGGAGGGTAATTGAACCAAGTGTGAAACCACCCTTAAAAATAACAAATCCATATATTATACACTACACTATATTTATACACATATATTATACACTACACTATTATACACTATACACTATATGAAAGCTATACATAGCCTTTTGTATAATATAATATCCATGAATTGTAAGGTTTCTTTATGGAACCACTGATGCCAACTTTTCTTTTTAAGAGTGTCAGGCACTTTATCGGTTCTATACATTAGCTAAGATCAATTAATATCAAGTGCTGCTATTAGTTATCCAGATCTGAGACTTTGAAAAAAAAAATAGCACTTGCACAGTGGTGAGGACAAACAATTAAATCACTGCCAGCAATAACCTACAGTAATTTCCCCTGGAGAAGTTTTTGTTTGTGTTTTATTCTAAAAGGAAATAACTTCTAGACGGTCATGACTGATCATGATGAATCAGCTGTGGTGAAAGTGTCTGGGTTTTTTTTATTATTATGGTTCACCATGGATGCATGTATGACCTTGCTTACAATCTGCTTCTGCTATTTTGATGCCACTCTGGTTTAGGGTTTGTTTAAGGATGGAAGGAAATACTTTGAATACGGCCACCTTTTTTAAATGGCAAACCACATATAGAGGCTTTGGTGGGAGGAAGAATTTTAACAGTACCATTATTTTGTAAAAAAGTTGGAAACAAATTGCTGAATACGGTGGAGTGGTAGAAGGCAACTTCTTTTCAGACTTACCAATATCTGTCCTCCTTTTCCCCCTTGGATCATATAAAGATGTCTTATGATGCATCTTCAAGACCCTCGACCCCTCAAGTATCTGTCCCGGTGGACTTCAGTCTTCCTGCCAGCTCTGTGTCCTGCTTAAACAGTTCAGCTGCCCGTCACCGCATCGCCGTCAAAGCTAACGCTCGTGCCAAGAGAAAGCCTGCCAGCGTAAGACTCTTCACATTAACCATTCATACACTTTCATTATTTATGGTGCCTTATCATTTCAGGCCAGCAAGCTGTTAGTGATGTTTTATTCTCGTCTTTTTGAGCAATGCAGGAGTAGTCCATCCAAACTGAGGGGGAAATTGGTGTTAGTTTGTATCAGTAGTTGAACTGAATTGTGTGATTTATTCATGTTTAGAGGCAAATGCTGGACAAGGGAAGAGACCTGAGGGAAAAACTACTGCTCAGAGACACAGAGGACAAACTGCGGATGGTTACAAGTATTGGAGAACATGAATGTGAAGGTGTGTGTACATGTTTTTATTTATGCTAATACAAAAACATGTTTTATTTACAGTTCTCAGTATATATAAGTGCACCCCTCACAAATCTATCTTTTAAATTCACATTTTTAATAGGAAGCTATACAATATTATGTTTGTGGATATACATTAGATTAGTCAGTACTGAAGCTGAATCTGGAGCTTATCTAACAAAATAACTTACAAAACGGCCCAAGAACTAGCCTAATTTATATGTTGAAGAAAAATATTCAATACAATTTTTTTTTCAAAGAGAAAAAATCAAGAGAAGCAAAAAAATTTTGAAATTTTGTTGAAATTTTGTAGGTTGTGATTTATTTTTGCAATACTTTGGTTGTATTTTAGTAAATACAATTTTACAATATTATCTTTCAATTTCTAAATATGATTGGTGACTAAAAATGTATTTTAATAAATATTCCTGTTTACTAAATCTGTTTTGTTTAAATGCACCGAAATGCATTGCCTATATTCACTGAGAAATGGAGAAAAATATTCATTTTCAAAATGAGCTGTACTCTATGCTGGGCACTGTATATGTTCTTATAGCAGTTTTAAAAATAATGTTTAATATCTATTTTAGAATTACACATTTGAGGATAAAACACTTTATGGTATTTAGTCTTATGATTCTTCAAAAATTAATCCAATTTGATGCTAGAAAAACATTTTTTATAAAGCAAAGTTGATAATATGTTGGTGGAAATTATGATGCCATGACTATCATTGAAAGGTTTTGTGACAAAAAAACAATACTTGAACGAAACAAAGACACCTTAAATAGACAAAAAAAAAAGTGACAGTAGTGACATTTATTCATTCATTCCTCATTTTTCAGAGGGCGCCACAGCGTAATGAACCGCCAACTATTCCAGCATTTGTTTTACGCAGCTGATGCCCTTTCAACCGCAACTCAGTAGTGGGATACATCAATACACACTCATTTATACACACACTTTTACACTACGGGTAGTTTAGTTCAATCAATTCACCTATAGCATGTCTTTGGACTTTAGGGGAACCGCAGCACCCGGAGGAAACCCGGGGGAGAACATACAAACTCCACACAGAAATGCCAACTGGCCATTTATAATATTGAAAATAAATAAATTTCATCAGATGCTAAAATAAAACTCTTTGTAATAAAATCCTGAAATAACACTGTTTATATAAATAAGCAAAACAACTTTCAGCACTGATATTAATAAGAATTAGAATAGTTATATAATAGTGAACCAGTAATAATTGACTACCAAAGCTGCAAATTAGAATGTTAGCTGAAGGATCATGTGACACTAATAACTAGAGCAGGGGTTCCCAAACTTTTCAGCCTGCGACCACCAAAATAGCAATGCCAGTAACTTGCGATAAATACAGAAACTTTGCATGCAACGGCGCACACACACCAGTAGACCCAAATCTATTCTTTGTTTAATTATTTTTATGTATGTCAGTGCTGTAAATGTGCCAGAAAGTTTAACCTGGTGTTATAAAATCAATCTGCTGCATTTGTCGCTATTGCTGTAATTAATGTAATTACCCCAGGGGTCACAATCCAATAAAACAACAGTATAAGCTACTATAGTAACTATGTAGTAAATGGTAACTATAAATGACTATTTTTTTCTCTTCAGTAGGTTATGGATAAAATATGGTAATTTTTATAGTTTAATAAAAATAAATAGATAGATTTTTGAAAATCAACTGGCGTCAGTTTACTCCTCTGGGAGTGTCGACCACCACTTTAAGAACCACTGAACTAGAGTATTGATGCTGAAAATAAGGCTTTACACTCTCAGGAAAAAAAGTTAAATGTATATTAAATATTAAAGTTCTGTTTTAACAGTATGTTTACAAACATGTTTAAGGCATGTTTGGTAATTTGTTACTAATTTGTTTCTTAAAAATTATTAATACATTTAGATTAAGTAGCTGATTTTATTTAATATGACTTTAAAAGGTGGTTCATTCTGCTGTGGTGACCCCACATTAATAAAGGGACTAAGCCGAAAAAAAATGAATGAATGAATGACTTACAAATGGGCTGCACAGTGGCGCAGTGGGTAGGAAGCACGTTCGCTTCACAGCAAGAAGGTCACTGGTTTGAGCCTCGGCTGCGTCATTTGCCGTTTCTGTGAGGAGTGGGCATGTACTACCTGTGTTGGCGTAGGTTTCCTCCGGGTGCTCCGGTTTCCCCCACAAGTCCAAAGATATGTGCCATAGGTGAATTGGGTAGGCTAAATTGTCCATAGTGTATGTGTGTGAATGAGAGTGTATGGATGTTTCCCAGTGATGGGATGCAGCTGGAAGGGCATCCGCTGCATAATACATATGCTGGATAAGTTGGCGGGTCATTCTGCTGTGGCGACCCCAGATTAATAAAGGGACTAAGCCGACAAGAAAATGAAGGAATGAATGACCTACAAATAATAACTAGTTAACTTATTTTGCAGTGTGCTTTGCTATAGTGTAATCATACATTTAGGTACTGAATATTATTAATTAACTGGATGCACTCATTACATGGCTTGGGTTAGAAGGATATTTACAGTTAGTTCTATATAATTATGCATAATATATTGTTGTTATAGTATAGTCAAGCAACGTGTAACAAGGACACCTTGTTTTTTTGTTGTTGTTTTTGTTGTCTGGATTTGCCAGGAGAGCTGGTTAATATTTCAGACAATGAATCCTTTGCTTCTGAACACGAGGATGAGGAAATGACTGACTCCGGGCAGATTCAGAAAACCTCTCCTAAATCCTCCATCTCAGCTGGAGACGACTCTGAAGGAGAGGAATGTGATCACGTCCCCGAATCCGAGGTCCCACAATCCTCTTGGGAGATTCCTGTAACACTTGAGCTGCAAGCTCATGATGATGCTGATGACTTCCTGTTGGACACAGGATGTGAGGTCGTTCCTGAAGAGCAGGGGTCACTGCTGGAGGAAGTGCTGAGCTCCCTGAAGAGCCCTCTTGCGTCAGGACTCACACTAGAGCATGAGAACGTCAGTCTTCAGAGTGAGGTACAGTACAGTCACTAGCATTTTTAATTAAAGGGATAGTTGACCACAAAATTAATTATCTGATAACTCTTCCAAATCTTTAAAAGGTTCTTTCTTAAAAAAGAAGTTATTTTGAAGAATGCTGAAAACCTTTAGCCACTTACCTCTGTATAGTTTTAGAAGTCAGTGGCTACCAATATCCAAAATTCTCTAAATTGTTTGTGGAGTTCAACAAATGCATGAAACTTATAAACATTTGGAATTATTTGTTGAATTATCTGTTGGATGTACTGCCATTAGGCAGACATTTCAGATCCATCAAAGCACAGACAAATAGACCTAAAAAAACAGTTTATACCCAAGAGCAATAAATGTGCTTAACAACTCAAATACCTTCATCTAACAGTGACATTGCATTACAAAACTGAACAGTTCTTAGACAGGAACACCAAGTAAAAATCCAATGTGCATTGTGTTACAGCTATTCATAAATATGTTCTTCACACAATATGTTCTTTCACACATTCCCATATACAGTGATAAAGTGTACCTCTTACTTCATTACACTTTATACAGGTATCTGGAATATTAACGTTAAACTTGTCTTATATAGCAGGTGTTATTTATGTTCGCATTAACTATTTTTACTGTTGGAGTTTCAGGCTACTTTTGATTGTTTGTATCTGAGCTTTCTTACATGCCTTATTCCAATTCTCTAGAGATATTTTATCTACTATATCTTCTTTCTATAACTTTAGTTTTGATTCTGAGGATTCATTAGAACCAGATATGAACAATTTGTACTAACTCCATTTCTAACTGGCGAATGACATGAACTAGTGGGTTGTCTGCTGTCGTGTCGAGGCAGGCGTTTGCAATTTTAGGAGGGGTGGCTTTGAAACAGTCCCTCCCTTGCAATCCAAAAATAATATGCTAACTGGTTAGCATTTTGGCAGATCTCCTACTGCACCTTTAAAGGGCCATGAAACCCTCTCGTTTCAGCAGGGTGTTTTCACACCTCTACTTTGGAAAAAGTCAGAAAAGTGGGCGTGTCCAGCTCTGTTTAGGGGGGAGTGTCGGAGGAAGAAAAGAGGCTTGGTGTGGGAGTGTCTATTTGGGCGCGCTGAATTTCAGAGTCAAAACACACAACCACAGCGGACAAAGTGACTGTTTACATGGACATATGTAGTCGAATTATTTGCCAAATTATTAAATGGTGGACTTTAACTGCAGTTTGGCTCTTTCATTCAGGGAATTCATTCATGTCCCTCCCGACAAACGAGATATTTGATTCGAGGAACTGCTCTAAGCGTGTATTTTTCATGCAATGTTTGATACCGCACGGCGAATGAGAGAAAAAAAAAAACCTCCGCATTTAAGTGTTAAGTTAGATTAATCTCAGGTATTTATTACATTGCAGCTTTTGCACAATATATTTGTACACCTGAGGTCTGCACAATAACAATATAAAACAATACAATATAATAAATATTTTTTTCACTTTTGGGTGAACTATCTCTTTAAGAAAAGTGTCAACAAGTTATCAAGAAAAGGATTTACTTGTATTGGATAATAATGCAATTAAGATAATAGTTCTGTGATAATGAAGATGTTTGTGTTGCTACTACTGTATGTGAACTACAGCTCTGCATAGTAAAGGCTGCATGTGAAATTACCACATATAATAACATGTTTTTCCACTAAACTTCAGTCACGTGTTTTAGAAATCCTTCTGTAAGATGATTCTGTAATCATACCATTATTAGTCCTGTTGAATCAATGAAAGCAGTTCATTCTGCCACTTCTGAGAGAAGAGATTGCATCTGGCCTTTTGAGGAGATTCATGATCATCATTTAAAATTGTAAATGTTAAGATTGATCACTTAATTTTTTATTTATCTCAAGTGCAAGTCTGAATAAGAAAATGTTTTTATATAAATAGTATATTTGTTACACTAAAGATTTTTCAATCATATTTGGACACCTTTCATGCCTTTAATATGCTTTCTGTGTATACCCCAAAAACCCCAAATTGTATTTGACCCATCTTTTTGTTGATTATTTTGACTTCACACTAGTCATCAGTTGTGCAAAATGTATTCTTGATTCGCTAAAATTCCCTCCTCATTGAACAACAAACTCATTGCATTAATTTAAAGTCTTTTGCTTCCTCTTTTTAGGTCGAAGACGCAAATAGCAAGAGCATTGTTGCTCAGCTTGAAGATGAAGACAGCAAAGATCTCCTCAATCCCTCAGAGCCAGCAGTGGCCATGAATGAACAAGCTCCACCACCCGACTCGCTCTCTGAATCATCTGTAGATTCTGGAGAAATCTCAGAGGAGACCACAGAGGAGGAGGAGCTGCTGGAGTTCATCGGTGAAGAGTCTGTAGAACCAAGTCATTCACAAGTGCCTGAAGAACATGAGGAGAAACGAGTACACAATGCTGAGAGTGCCAGAGAAGATGAAGAGCTTTTAGAATCGCCAGTCGCTTTTATAGACAATGTGAAAGAAAGTGATGTTACTGAAGATGAAGCTGAATTGGAAATCCAAGATGGTGGAGATGATGGAGAGCGTGGCGATGATGGAGATAGTGGAAATGATGGCGATAGTGGAAATGATGGAGATAGTGGAAATGGTGGAGATGATGGAGATGATAAATTGACGGAGGTTGAACCTGAGAAAAGCGAAGACTCTACAAATGATGTTGAACCTCAAGAAGATAAACCAAGTTCTCCAGAGCCTGAAAACCATGAAGCGTCAGATGATGAAAGAGACTTAGTGGTGCTCAAAGTGGAGAACGTGCATGAACCTGATCACACAGAGAGAGATGATGTCTGGAGGTCAACAGAAACCAGTGATGAGCCTGAAGCCTCTAAGTCTTCAGCTGTTGAGATCCTTGTGTCTCCTCAGCAGGAAAGTCCAATTCTCCGGTGTCAGTTTTCCAAGTCATCAATGTCTTCTCTTGAGAAGGAAGAGGATCCTCTGCCCATTAGGCTGGAAGAGTCTGGTGAGCCTCAGGAAGCGTCTTCAGAAGAAGCCAAGGTTGTTGTTTCTGAGCAGCAAGTCCCTGAGTTGCCTGTGAGCATTGCTGAGGTTCGTCCACGGTTCACCATTGCTCCTGCATGGCAGAGGTCACTGGCCTCACCAGAGTCACAGACTGAAGATACTAATGTTTTGTCTCCACAAACAACTCAAGTCATCGTTCCCATCCTTGAAGAGCGACCCAAACCAGCCCGCACTCAGAGTTCTCCAACACTGCCGGTCCAGAAAGAGGCTGTTCATGTGGAAGAAGAGAAGAACCCGGAGAACCCATTCGGGGTGCGGTTGAGAAAGACTCCAGTTTTGCACCGTTATGGTTTGGATGGAGAAGCATCTTGGAGCGGCACTCAGACTGCAGAGTCTGTAGGGCCGCAAGAGACACCAGATCAAGAGCAGAACGACAGGAAGCCCATCCTACTGAAAAAACCCGAACTCATGTTTGATCCAGGGATGTCAGCAAGGAAAGTGCCAGGTAACGCAATTTTTGAAAGATTATTGTGGGTAGACACAATGTTTTTTTAATATTATTATTTTTATCTTGGAATAAAAAAATATTAAACATTTAGCATTTGAAATTAAAACTGTTTTGAAGCAAATATTAAATGCATTAAGATGATTTAAAATCAAAATAACTTAAATTAAGTTCTGGATGGATGGATGGATGGATGGATGGATGGATGGATGGATGGATGGATGGATGGATGGATGGATGGATGGATGGATGGATGGATTATTGAAAAACTGAAATATAAAAATAAATAAAAATTAGTTAAATGTTAAATACATGAGGTGAAACTTATTATAAACCATATTGTTATTTAATTAATTTAAAATTATCTTTTTATACATACAAGATATTTTATATATTTTGTCCTGTTTTCTAATTAAAAATATTTCCAAAAAAGTATTTATTTCTTGAAATTTATTAATTATTTTTTGCCTTTATAAATAATTAAATAATTTTAATCAGTTTTATTATGCGACTTTTTAATGTACTTTCAATTATTTTAAAAGATTGCATTTGTTTTTCAGGTAAATTTAAATTGTGGGAATGCTCAGATGTTTTTTTACTGGAAAGCAAGACCGAAATGCCAAATATTTTAACAATTGTAAACATTTTCATGTCCGCAAGAAATCAAAACTAACCATATGATTTTGTTAGCTCATATTGCTAGTTTTTTGGTGAACAATTCATCTGTGCATGTCATTATGAAAACAAAATTGTTTGCCCTTCTATGAAATCTGAAAATGCACTTCCTGTTTGTTTTCAGTTAAATTATTAGATTACGTTTATCTTAGCAAATGGGTGTGGCTAACATATTTAATCAAGCGTCTCCAGCTGTTAGGAGTATGTTAGGTTGTAATAACTCTCCCCAAACCCTTTTCGCATTTTTCTGAATGAAATGTCTACATCATCATTCAGCTTGCAAAAAAACAAGCCACGCCCACTGTTTTCTCATTGACTATTTCGTTTCTCTAGGAACTGCGTCACGATATGAAAAAATAATAATAATAATAATCATTCTTAGTTGTTATTAGTCCACGGTTATTAATGATGGCTCTTTTATAATACTGAAAACCTTTTTACATTCCTCCCTAATATTTTTAGTATCTTAGCATTTCACATTATTCTTCAAATAATATGATGCAAATTTGTATCTCCATTTCAGAGACAGTGGGCAGAATGTCAGTTGGTAGTTCAGAGTCTCCTAGCTGGATCTCTGTGGCTCGACAGAAACAGAGGAACTTCATAGAGAGCTCGTCACCAGAAAACTCTCCAGAGAAACTACCAGCACAAGTTCAGGTACACAAGCTCTTGCTTCTTGTAAATAGCAAACATGCCCTATAAAAGCATGTCGGCTTCTCAAGGAGCAGCTTCCAAACTCTTCTTAGCATCAATAATACATGTTGCAGCTTGGGAAAATTTGATGTTCTGTGAAGTTTTAAGGCAGGATACTGCAGGCAGAAAAAGTCAGTTTTCATATTTTTCAGGTTTCTTTCATATAGTTTCTCATATAGGCTTTCATTACAGTCTTATGTCCAGCCCTGTGCTTAGTTTGAGATGGATCCTGTACCTGAAAATGTCAGATATTCATGTTTTGTGTTGGGTATTTATTTTAATGGATCCAGCATTAACTTTTGTGTGGTGAACACACACACGGTAATCACCATGTGCAAGTTAAAGCAAAAGTCATATTTACCTATTAACCCTCAACAATATTTTCAGCTAATCAGCTTTCTCATGTTTACAATCACTCTTATTGGTTGGTGATTGTTTCGTGGGCAGGGAGCAGTTAAAATAAATAATGGTTTAATGGCCAACCTAAATAATATTTGCATTTTCAAATGGCAAAGAGGCAGCCATTTATATGTTCATATTTTAAAACCACGAGTAAATCTGAAAATGAGCCTGATCAAAAAAAGATCTTCAGAAGATGAAACTGCATAAATGGATCAGGATAAAGGGAGACAGAAGCTAAGCGATCTCAAGCCAGCCAGAAAACATGACAGAGGAGGTATCTTGGCTCTTCTTGAAGATTAGACTGAGTGAGTCATTTAATGATTTGTTTTTCGCTTGGCACATAATAGTGCAGTGAACTGAATAGTGTTTGTTCATACAATTTATGTCTGTACATGTTTTTATTATTCTTCAAAAGTTATATGGCACAAAATCACAAATGTGACGCTCTTTCTTTGCACTATCAATGTTTAATGACGTCATGTTCCGGGAAATCTGAAATTGTGTTGTAGACAGTACCAATTATTTTAATTTTCTGGTTTTGTTCTGGAAATTATTCCTTTACAAATTAAGATTGGTCCAGCCTAATATAAAAAGCATAATTTTCTCACACTTTATCAATTTGTGTCTGTAAATTGCATACAGTTATAATTCATGAATCATTTATATTCCAAAGATTATTAGTGTTATTTTAATAAATACTTTTATTTTGCATACTAGAATTTTAAACATTGCTTTAATAAACAGATATACTGTGCTGAACTATATGCAAATTAGTTTTAATTTCAAATGAGTGTTTTTATTAGCATGTTTAATAAAAAATATGCCTCGTTTGCAAATTTAAAGGGATAATTCATTCCAAAAATGACAACTCTAGTTATCCTTCACTTGTTCAACACCTATTTGATTTTCTTTCTTCTGTTAAACACAAAAAAGGAAAATGCTGGTTGCTGTGACCTATTGACTTCCATAGTAGGCTGTTTTTTCTACCATGAATGCTAATGGGTCCCATCAACCAGCATTCTTTAAAATATCTTCTTTTCTGTTCAACAGAAGAGACTCCCAAGGTTTAAAAGCACATAAGGGAGAGTAAATGATGAGGTGATTATTATTTAACTACCCCTAAAAGCATAACATAAGAACTTTTAATATGAAAAATCTTTGGAATCAATGTAATCCCATATAAGTATGTTTAAAAAAAAAAAACCTTTAGATAATTTTAACTCGAGTCTGTTTCAAAATCAACTGAAGGCTCAGTTTGGCTTTCTCTTTTATTTAAAATGTGTTTGCTTGATTTTAGGGAGACGTTAAAAGACAGGATTCATCGCCCAGTTTATCAGCTCCAGTCGTCAAAGAGCAGCTCACACAGCCGTGTTCACCTTTACAAGGTAATCACTTTTCCATTAGCAGCATTCTCTGTCAAGGCTTTACATAGCAAAGCTTTTGTGGATTTAGGGTTGTTGAATTTGGTCTGAAAACTGCAACTACCCATAGAAATATGGTTTTAATCTCCTAATAGCGTAAGGTTACAGTTTGAGCTCATGGTGAAAATGACAAATATTTCAATGTCTGCCCCCTAGTGGATATTTAATGTAAATGCCACCATTTCTTTGGTGTTTTTAACTTTACACTCAAAAAATGACATTTGTTGCTTGTTCAAACTACTTATTTGAAATAAATTGAAATTATACATTTTTGAAGGGGGGGGTTACTTAATTGTTTTAAGTTTAATTCACTTTTGAAAAAAGTCTTGTGTTGGGATATATATATATATGTGTGTGCTGATTTGTTGCTTGAGTATTATTTTATTCTTCTTAATGATTATTGTTAATATTTTGAGTAAAAAATTATGATACTTTTTTTATTATAGTTTGGCGAAATATAATGTTCAACAAACATAATCTATTTTAAATGGCTTATTTTTTGTCTAACATAAATGTATTCTATTACTTTAGATCAATTGAATGCATCCTTGCTGAATAAAAATATAAATATGTACAAATACATTTTATAACAAATAAAAATACAATGCCATATCATTTTGATCAGTGGTGTATCCCAGGTTCTACAAAATATTAAGCAGCACAGCAGTTAATAACAGATAATTATAATATGAAATATTTGTCAAGCACTAAATCAACATATTAAAATGATTTTTGAAGGATCATGAGAGACTCTCATGTAAACCTCTTAACTCAAAAGTTCACACTTAGTTGATGATTAATTATGAAGCTCAAAATCCGTTCATACATACGTGAATGCGTCAGACCGGAAATGGTCATGCATCAAGTTTCGCAGTTCACTGCGTTAAAAAGTTCAAGCTTGGTGAAGTCTGACCTGCTAAATTGCATCACATGATTGCGTGAGACCAATTGAAGATCAAAACATGACCTCTCAGGACAGAAATTTAAAACATGGAGCAATCGCTCGCTGTTTTGAATGTATAGTCATCTTGTTTAATCCCGCCCCTTTTCGCAGCGCTGTACTACAGAATTTCACACGCACAAACTCTAGTGTGACCGCGGCATAATACTGAAAATTCAACCTTTTCACCTTCCAGAAAAAAATTCTATTTTCAAATATATTAAAATAGAAAGTAGATAGATTTTGAAGTAACATTTGAAATTGCACTAATATTTCACGATATTTCACTTTTTGCTGTATTTTTCAATCAAATAAATGGGAGAAAGATTGAACAATTCAAACGTTTGGCTGTCAATATATATGTATCTCTCATTACATCTTAAATAATATGAAATAATAACTTCTTTTTTTTCTTTTTCTTTTTTTTTTTTTTTTTGCTCTACCAGTGTTCTGCTCTCTTGAGCTCTCCAACACATCCATGGTGGAGAAGGAAAGTAAGAGGATCAGTAGCCCGTCCACTGCACCTCTGGCCCAGGACGAGCCGCCCTGGCTGGCCCTCGCTAAGAAGAAAGCCAAAGCATGGAGTGAGATGCCACAGATCGTCCAATAAAAGGCCAGCTAGCATATGGACTTCTTCTCAATATTTACATAAACAATAGACATAAGCAGTAACATGACACACAGCCTAATTGCACTTGAAGGGGTAGTTCACCTGAAACTAAAAATCGTTTGCTCACCCTTTACTTGTTTCAAACCTTTATGAGTTTCTTCTGTTAAACACAAAAAAGAGTATTTTGAAAAATGATGAGTTTCATATGTTTTCCTACTATTGGATAGAAGTTTTCAATAAAATAACTTCTTGTGTGTTGAACAGAAGAAAAAACCTATAATGGTTTGAAAGCATTTGAGGATGAGTAAATAGTGTGTCAATAGTATTTTTGGGTGAACTATTTCTTAGAGCCGTCTGGTGTCACTTGTGTGTTTTTTTACGACATCACAAAGGATACATCATATTTGTGTAATGATTTGGTTTGCAGCAAAACACATTTTCATTTCGTAAAGGAGAGGGTTTGAAATGCTTTGATATGAGGACGGTCGAAGTGAATGATTTTTGCAATCGAACAAGAAACCGATGAGCCGCCATCAAAGCTGTGTTTTTATTTACGACCATGAGAGGAAAACCTTCACTGCTCTTTACTAAGTTACTCTGCTATGTTATATTATAGTCTTTCCAGTAACACAGTTATCCTGAACGCAGCCGAAGGTGTCTTTGTATTTATTTATCTCACTCTTGTATGTTTTATGTATTTTTGTATTTACATGCACAGTTTTGTGACTTGTACATAAAAATGTGAAGTACAATAAAAATCAGATCATAAACTGAAGCCATGTTCGTTTGATCCAGCACAGATCATTTGAGTCAGATTTACTTTTTTGTGTCGATACACTTTTCTCTTCAGTTTTCATTCATTTGCACTTCTTCTGCATTAAAGTTGGCCTGTTGGTTATTTAGATTTATGCTGAATGATCTTGAGAGTATAAAAACAAAAACCGTATATTATATGATATGAATATATGAAACCTGTAACCTCAAAAGAAAATGGTAGATCACTAAGGTCATCTGATCAGCTTATCCTGGTGTAAGTGAAGTGAGGATCGGGCTGTTACCGCCCCAAAATACTGGAACAAGCTTCCACCCCACATTAGACACACTCCAACTTCAGAATGTTTGCACGTTTCCAGATTTTTTTCATAGTACCTTTTTTTGGTGTCAGTACAACAACAAGGGTTTGGAACGAGTAAAAGAAGAGCAACTTAAATGATGGCAGAATTTTCAGTTTTGGATGAACTATCCCTTTAATTCCACTCAAAAAATGATGTTTGTTGCTTGTTCAAACTACTTGATATGAGTTGAACCTACACAAATCTTTTTGGGGGACAATTTACTTGTATAGTACTTGTTTTTTTTTTTTTGTTTCCACATACATTTTTAAAAAGTATTATGTTAAATGAATTGAATTGTGTTGGGACAACAATAGGAAATAATGTGGAACCCAGCATTTTTTACAGTGTAGGAATAAACTTGCCACTTAGTGTGCAAACTCTGTGCACTGAAAAGAACGATGTAATGATGTTCAACTTAACATGTTTGTTTAAATTCAGCCCAAATGAATTGTTTACAACCACTTTATTTAAAAGTAAAAGGGAAATCCAAAAGTAAATCTGAGGAATCCTCTTTGAATCATTTTTTTCAGTGTGGATTCTTCACATTAGCGAATACAAATCAGTTTGAATTCTTTCTGGTATATTTGACAGGTTTAGGATGCCGACCATTTCACGAGCACTCAGGAGGACCTCAGTTCACTGGTTCTCAACATCTTTGTGGTCAGCAAAGATGAAGGTCACAGAAAGCTGGAATAGTCATAAAGCAGTGGTCTCAAACTCAATTCCTGAAGGGCCGCAGCTCTGCATAGTTTAGCTCCAACCACCTTCAAATCACACCTGCTTAATAGTCTCTAGTAATCTTGAACACCTTCATTAGTTGTTGGATTTGGGTTAGAGCAAAGTTGCAGAGCTGTGGCCATCCAAGAATCCAGTTTGAGACCTATACCTTAGAGGGAGCAGAACCTTCTTTAGTATTTTTGCAGGTTCTTGCACCAATCTTGGGCCTCTTTTATGCATTTGAAGAAAGCTATCCAAAGAATCTTCAATACACCATTGAGGACTTTCAAAAGATCTTCTTTGAGTTCAAGGATGTTATCAAGAACATCTCCTCCGAAGTCTACGATCTCAAGGTAAGCTTACTGGTCTAAAAACCACACATTGTGGATGGTAGTGGGATTTAGCTGTTCGGTGGAAGGGGATGATTGGGATCATATGGGGATGATTGGGATGATTGGGGATGATCGTATGGGCTGATAGAGGGACTTTGGCCAGGACACCGGGGTTACACCCCTGCTCTTTCACGAGAAGTGCCATGGGATTTTTAATGACCACAGAGAGTCAGGACCTCGGTTTAACATCTCATCCGAAAGACGACCACTTCCAACAACAACCTAGTGTTCCCTAGTGGTCTTCCATCCAGGTACTAACCAGGCTCAGTCCTGCTTAGCTTCAGTGAGTAACCGGTCTTACGCTGCAGGGTGATATGGCTGTGCTGTGTATATTTCTGTTATGGATACAGTTAACAATCAAAAAGCAAACGCTATTGTATAGAAAGAGCTCTTTACAGTACATTGTTACAAACATTTTAGTTGGTTGCAATCAGTATTCCAGTCACAGCTTGAGATTTTTAAGACAATAAATCAGTCAGTTTTCATGTAACCTGACTTTTATTTTGTTTTTAATTAAATTGTCAGCTTAATATTTTGTAGACTTATTTAACAAGGAGTCTACTGCCACTTGAAAATTGTAGTATAGACATTTAAAAACTAAGCTGGTTTCAATACAAAATGCTATATCTTTTTGGGATATGTAGATCATACATAAAATAATGAGAGAAATGCGAAAAATTAAGTTAAGTTTGTTAAAAATTTAATTTCAACAGTCATATAAATTAAGTTCTATAAGTTCTAAGCTCTAATATAATTATGCAAAAAAATCATTACATTGATTGGTGAAGCAATTTTTTTTTCCAGTGTACTGACAAATACTATCTTTCTTATAAATACTACAAATGCAGCTATCATTGCTTCAGTCATGGTGTTGCTAGGCCTATTTTAGGGGTGCTGTCGCCCCTCTATATTTCTACTCAGCCCCCCTAAAACATTTGCAATTAGTTTATAAACCATAGACTAAATTATCACCTCATTTCCCTTTAAATTGGATATAAAAACTGCTTATTTGCAGTTCTATAGATACACTTGTATCACTTGTACCCCAGTGTCATGGAGGAGCAGCGGGTTGCATTCACCTCATCAGCACAGCTGTTTCCTCCAGTGAAAAAATGTAACTCTTAACGAACATTTCACTATTTTTATTTCAAAATGAACTACCTATATAACACACATTACAGTGCGTGTGGCGTTAACTATCCCATAGAGTCAAGCACATAAAGGATTAAACAGTGACAGAACCACTTAATGCTACTCGTTTTAACACTCAGAGTCACTAACAGAGATTAAAACATCATATTGTCTTGTATTAAATATTATTATATTATATTTATATTAAATTTATATTATATTAATATTATTATTATTCAGATCATGAACTATGTGAATAAGCCTATTTATGCCATTTATTCAAAAAATATTCCTAGTTTTAATTATTGACTGTCATTATATGGAAACAAAATATGCACTTGAATATAGAAAGTGGTTTGTAGTACTGTACACAGGTGTGTTGAGCCTATTTGGCTCATTCAAATGGCTACAGCATACAACCCTAGCATATTAGACAAACTTTTTAGTATTATTGTATTACTAAAATACACTTGAAAAGTGTATTACTATTACATTACAACTTATGAATGTAATATTAGGCTTATGCTTTTATATATATTATTTATTTATTTATTTATTTTTATCATAAAATCACCCCTGGTGTGCTGAGTTTTAGCTGATCAAAATCAGCCCAATAGCTACTGTATTATGTTAAACAAACACTTTTTTATTTATTTGTTCCCTAAATTATATAGGTTATTAAGTATGTGTGACTTGATTTGTGCTTAAGAATTAAATATATATTCTACTTTATTATAGGCTACACATTTTTTAAAGATATTCAATATTTGTATCATTCAAATGTCTATCATATCATATGCACCTGACTGAATACAAGTGTGTTTTGTGCTTGTTTAAATCCACTGATAATAGCGTACTGTACCTTTAAGACAGAATTCGAACGAGTTCTAAAAACGTCACGGCGCACAACATATTCCACGTTCTTACAGCACTTGCAGCATTTGTGACTTGTTTAATGAAAGAAGTGGTGAAATTGAAAACGTTTGCGTTTTAATGAACACTGAAGCTTCATTTATGACTATTTGCGATTCACAACGATTTATTCACAGCACGAGTACTCTCCCCAACTCTACCTCAATGGAGAACAACTCAGCAGGTACACTTTTTGGATATTTTCAAGCACAATTAGCGCCCATTTCCAGTAATTGTGTGGTGAATTCTCATTTAGTTTTTTTTAGATAGTTTAGAAACATTTCTAGCGTTTATTTCACTGTGAATAAAGGGGAATGTAAAATGCAGGGTAATGTAATACGTCCATATAAGTAGCTTATGTACATACATGTGTTGGTTTAGAGCCCAGAATTTGTGTGTGTGTTAGTGTCGTTTTTAAATTAATTTAGTTTTTTATCACAGATGTATTGAAGTCTTTATTCTAAAATAAACCTGCTTGCTCATTTAAACAGCTAAAATACTTAAAATAAATCAACTTTTGGTTGTTATGACAAAGATTGATTATGGTAAAGAAATATTTGTTAGTGAAAGTGTAAATAATAAAATACAATATGATTCTTTTTTTGAGTGAAATGGAAAGAACCAGCAATGAACCTTGCACATCTGTTGCTAATAACCTTTTTCTTCTATGAGTTTGCACCCGTGTCGTTTGGATAAGCTTGTCACAAATGTAATGATGACAAAAAAAATGTACATTCTCTGATTATACTTGGCCAGTAGTGTGTGCGTAATTGAGTTGACTGTAGCAGTAGAGAGAGCTGCGATTCAGATGTAAATACATTTTTATTAACAACAACAAAAAAAAAGTTCCATCAAAGTGTAAATCAGTCTCATCTTATGCATTTGTAGAAAGTTCAATGAATGAGCTTGATAGAAATGAGCACATTTACATGGCCAAATCGCTTGATCACTCTCAAAAACTAAAATAAATAAAAGTCTTTAGGATTACTTTTAAAATTGCATGTTGCTATATAAATGACATTTAATTATGAATTGGTGATGGAGCTGAACATTATTATTCCTGCAGCATATGTTTGAGTGTATCGAATAACTCAGAAATATTGATGATCATGGTTTTTTATATAGCATAGGGCAATACCACAGAGGGCAATACATATATCTAAGTTTAAAGTAAAATATTTAGTTATTTACATTTGATAAAGGTCAATCTTTTTTCTAAAATGTATTTCTTTTTTTCTTTCAGAGAAACAACCAGAAAGCAGGAAGAACATCTTCCCTGCGCTGTTCAGAAATATTTTTCTGACAGTAAAAGGTCGTCGACGAGGCAATGTAGTGTCTACACCACAGCCTACGTCCGACATGGATTTATATGATCCACAGCCAGGCCCATCCGGCCTCCAGTACACGGCTGTACAGGATCATACTGATACTCAATCGGGTCCATCTAGTGTCAATCCAACAACTTCTGACACAAATACAGCTTATCCCGAGGCTGAAGGTGGG